GGTCTCTCCTGCCCGGGCTGGCTTTGAACCACGATCCTCAGATCTCAGCCTCCTGAGTAGCTAGGATTACAGGCGTGAGCCACCAGCGCCCGGCGAGGCCACTGAATTTCTGATGCTTTGTTGCTCAGCTGTGATTTGGCCAGTCTTGTGTCCTTCAAAGCCCAGCTCTGTCCCTTACGTACCACCTATGCAGAAACCTTCACACACACACACATACACACACACACACACACACCCCGACATTGATCTACAGCCTATCTGCTGGAGCCGTGTCCGAACACAACGGGACAGGGGGGCTGGCATGGAAGGGTAGACCAGGATGTGGCAGAGTCTGCAAGATTAGAAATGGCATGAATAAGACTAGCACGGGCTGCTTTCCACAGTCTGAATTGTAGAGTAAGGCTTTCCTACGGTTCTGTTGAGGCTGAAGCAGGATTAGTTGAGAAAGGAGAAAAGGACCCTGTGTTCGGCACACTAGTTACACGTCTCCAAGGGTCAGGCAGAAATGGGTTCCTGCCCTCAAGTGGGCTGAGAATGCCAGAGGGCAAGGAGACATAGAATGAGCAAATTGTGGTCCCCAAACCTCTCCATCCTGGGGTCTTAGGCACAAGAAGGAAAGATTAATTCCTTCTAGTCGGTGGACGAGACCATGTCTCTCTGCTTGTGAGATGACTTGGGTGACCCTATCCAAAAGGAATTGCTAATATTTTGTAATGTCTCACAGATAAATTTCCGCTGTAAGCCATCCTTCCGTGAGTCTGGTTCCAGGAACGTGCGGGAGGTAAGCACTTGGGTGATTCTAGTCAGGGAGGCCCCGAGTTCTTGGGATCTCTGCAGTGCCTGCAACATGCCACCAGGGGGCTCAGCTCCATAGACAGATCAGGTCTCCCAGAGGAGAGGTTTTCTGGCCATGCGCAGAGGGTGGGGTACTGTGTGCAACTTGAGCCTCCCAACCCACATCACACACCTGACTCTGGAGAGCTTCCTGGGGCCTAGCTCTCCTGCTAGGTGTGGGCCCAGCCTGGGCTGTGCCCATCCACACCCCTTGCTGGCTTTAGTGACAGTTCTCTCCTCCCCAGCCAACCTTCGTCAGACACCACTGGGTACATAGGCGACGTCAGGATGGCAAGTGTCGGCACTGTGGAAAGGTAAGGTCTCTGCCCAAGCGTCCTGGCTACCTTCTATGAGTCCCGCAGACCACTGACCACAGCCCCAGAGTTAGTCCCCCGACAAGCTCTCAGCCCAGCTGTGGCACCAAGTCAGATCAGTCTCAGTGTCTGGGCTGAGCAGGAAGGCATGGAGGAAGATTTTTACTTGTGCAGTAGGACCTGCTGGGGACTTGTGGGGACCTCTTGAGGACCATGTAGACTTTTCATTCATTTGTTTGACAAATGTTAATTCACTTTTTCATGCCAAGTGCTAAGCTGGATAGTAGGTTCCTGCCCTCCTAAGGACAGTGTGACTTGAGGGTAGACTGTACAGACTGTCTTCCCCAGAACAACCCAGTTCAGCTGGGTTTGTTTGTTGGTCATAGTGCTTGAACTCTGGGCCTGGGCGCTGTCCCTGAGCTCTTCAGCTCAAGGTGAGCGCTCTACCACTTGAGTCACAGTGCCACTTCCAGTTTTCTGGTGGTTAATTAGAGATAAGTCTCTCGGACTTTCCTGCCTGAGATGGCTTTGAACTGTGATCCTCATATCTCAGCCTCCTAAGTAGCTAGGATTGCAGGCATGAGCCACCAGCGCCCAGCTCAGTTGAGTTGTTTTGCTCAATTGTTTGTTCTCTGTCTCCCTCAGTAAGTACAACCCTCAAAAGTGTGAACATTGGGGCTGGGAAGGTGGCTCAGTGGTAGAGCGCTTGCCTTGCATGCATGAGGACCTCAGTTTGATTCCTCAGCACATAAGCAGAAAAAGCCAGAAGTAGGGCTGAGGCTCAAGTGGTAGAGTGATAATCTACAGTTGAAGAGCTGAGGGACAGCGCCCAGGCCCAGAGTTCAGGCTCCACAACTGACAAAAAAAAAAGTGTGAGCATTCATTCTTTCACTTACTGTGTGTTCAGCACACAGTAGATCCTCACAGTTTGGGAGTGAACAAGCAAGGAAGGAATGCAAGGGTACAATAAGGAGGCAGCACAGTATTTTCAGGGTCCTGGCCAGGTGTGGGGGTCAGGAAAGAGGGAAACCTTTTTTAGGGGGGGTCCAGTCGTGGGGCCTTAACTCGGCCTGGGCGCTGTCCCTCAGCTCTTCAGCTCCAGGCTAGTGCTCTACCACTTGAGCCACAGCACACTTCTGGCTTTTTTTTTCTTTTTGCTTATGCGGTGCTGAGGAATCGAACCCAGGGCCTCATGCATGCAAGGCAAGCGCTCTACCACTGAGCCACCTTCCCAGCCCCAAGAGGGAAACCTTGAGTCAGGCAAGAGTTGCTCCTCTGACTATGTGGGCACCCACTGCTTTGTGGTTAAGCTCGGCTGACTGCTGGCCCCTAGCTAAGCACCCCTGCCTTCAGAACCCACATCCCCCCACCACCCACTCATCGTAAGTAGGAGAATGGACGTATATTCTGGGCTATGAGCTATTTGAACAGTGGAAACACATGTAATGTAATTGTGACTTTTGTAAACAGAGTTCAGTAAATCTGAAGAATATGTAAAATATAATCTTATTATTACAGAAGTTAGAAATGCAAATAGGTTCTAATCCAATGCACTATGGAGTTATTAGCATATAACTTTGGCTTTATGAAACAGAATCCAAAATAACAGTAGCCTAAACCAGACAGTCTGTCTCCACTCCATAGAGCAGTTGGGAGAAGGCTGTCAGGGACTAGTCTGCTGGCTCTGCTCCATGATGTTGCAGAGTGATCCAGGCTGCTAGCTTGTGGCTCCACTCCTGCCATGGTCCTGTACTGCTCCCCATAGTCCAAGACGGCTCCCTCCATCATGTCTGCTCCAAGCCACAGGATGAGGAAGGGTAGATCCCTCCTCCTAAGGACTGGCCTGCTGTGTCACTCACCTCTCATTGACCAGAGCTGATTTTATATCCTGGATTGTGGGTTGTTTGGGTTTTTTTTTAATGTGCTTGTTTCCCCTGGGTGAAGAAAGGTAGGCAGCAAAAGCAGGGAGGGGTCTAGGCCACCCAATGCCGCAGCTACCCTGTCCACCCTCAGGGCTTCCAGCAGAAGTTTGCTTTTCACAGCAAGGAGATCGTGGCCATCAGCTGCTCCTGGTGCAAGCAAGCGGTGAGTGCTACCCCATGCCCACCCCTGTTGGGCCTGTGCTGCACTATGCTAGGACGGGTCCCCAGGTCTTAGCCTGGCCCAGCTCAGCCTTACCCGTCACTGTTCTCCAGTACCACAGCAAGGTGTCCTGCTTCATGCTGCAGCAAATCGAGGAGCCCTGCTCCTTGGGGGTCCATGCAGCTGTGGTCATTCCACCCACTTGGATTCTCCGAGCCCGGAGGCCCCAGGTGAGTCCTTTCTGCACCCTCAGCAACCATCTCCTTCCCCCTGCAGGGGCCTTCCAGCCACATCAGCCTGCCCATCTTGTTACCAATGCCTCTGCCTCTTGTTACCAATGCTTCTGCCTCCCTTGCAGAACACCCTCAAGGCCAGCAAGAAGAAAAAGAGAACTTCCTTCAAGAGGAAATCCAGCAAGAAAGGGCCTGAGGTTAGTCCTGGAGCCAGGAAGGAGGAAATGGGAATAGGAAAAGGGAATGTGTTTCTCAGAATCTAGAGGTTCTAGGGCCTAAGCTGCCAGCTCAGCCATGAGACAGGTCAGTTTGGACCTTGGCGCCATAATGTCTGACTGAACTAGTGTGTGCAATGGGGTGTATATTGTCATCCAGGACTGGGAATGTGGCTGGCTTAGTGGTAGAGTGCTTGCCTAGTATGCATGAAGCCCTGGGTTCGATTCCTCAGAACAGAAGAACTGGCACTGTGGTTCAATTGATACAAAACGGAAAAAGCTGGCACTGTGGTTCAATTCATAGAATGCTAGCCTTAAATCAAAGAAGCTCAGGGTCCGTGCCCAGGCCCTGAGTTCAAGCCCCAGGACTGGCCAAAAAAATGCTTGGAGTATCATCCAGAGACCTGCTATGGTGGGCAGGGTGGCAGGGGCGGGAGGGGTCTCTAGGATAGGAAGCAGCCTTACAGCTCTCTCTGTCTTCAAGGAAGGCCGCTGGAGACCCTTTATCATCAGGCCCACACCATCCCCCCTCATGAAGCCCCTGCTGGTGTTTGTAAACCCCAAGAGTGGGGGCAACCAGGTAAGCTGCTCTCCCACTAGGAGCTGGCCGTGGTTCCCAGGGCCCATGTCAGGCCTCTGCTTCATCTTTCTCACATGTCCTGAGAAAGTTCTTTTCCATCTCCACTCCTCACCCCTCACTGGGTTTGGTTCCCATAGCCACATCCTTCTCCTTGAACTTGTCCCTGCTTTGCCTCTACCCACCCACTGCCTCCTCATCCCCTACAGGGCGCTAAGATCATCCAGTCCTTCCTCTGGTATCTCAATCCCCGACAAGTCTTTGATCTGAGCCAGGGAGGGCCCAAGGAGGCGTAAGTACTTGCTAAAGTTCTGCAGCAGACAGCAGGGGCTTGCCTGGTTCTGAGCACAACACATGTCCCCATTCCTGTCTTTCCCCGGCCCAGGCTGGAAATGTACCGCAAAGTACACAACCTGCGGATCCTGGCATGTGGGGGCGATGGCACGGTAGGTTCTCCCAAAGCCAGGGCTGAGCTTGTGCTTCCCACAATGGGCCCCTGCCTGGCCTGACTGTCCCCTTCTGTCTGCCCCACTTGCTCCAGGTTGGCTGGATTCTCTCCACTCTGGACCAGCTGCGCTTAAAACCACCGCCCCCTGTTGCCATCCTGCCTCTGGGTACTGGCAATGACCTGGCACGTACCCTCAACTGGGGTGGGGTAAGCACACGTGGGGTGGGGGTTGAAGCAGAGCAGGGTGTGGCGGGGGTCTCTCAGCACTGGAAGAGCTCAGTCTTGGCTTCCTCCCACCAGGGCTATACAGATGAACCAGTGTCCAAGATCCTCTCCCATGTAGAGGAAGGGAATGTGGTGCAGCTGGACCGCTGGGACCTTCGCGCTGAGCCCAACCCTGAGGCAGGGCCTGAGGAGCGAGATGAGGGCGCTACTGACCGGGTGGGTCAGCCAAGGCCAGATGGGGAGCCCAGGTGTCTGGACACCTAGGGTACCTGGGCTGGGCCTGCACTCCCACTCGCTGGTTCTGGGAACTTAGGCAAGTCTCCTCCAGTGCTCCAGAGACAAAAATGACAAGATCGATTTTTGTTGAGCCACCTGACGACATGTGTTGAAGACTCACATACTGTGTGTGAGGTAGTGTTCTAAATAGCAGATACTCGGGGTCCCACTGCTCCTGCAGTACAGGCACGCAGCTGCAGCACTGGAGGGCTCCAGCATTCACTCCGAAGGCAGCGCAGCAGGGCCTGCCTGGTGATGCTCTGGGCCTGGGGAAGAGCTTTGGCACATTGTTCACGGGGTAGAAAGGTACTAAAATGCCAGGTGCCAGTGGTTCGAGCCTATAATCCTAGCAACTCAGGAGACTGAAATCTGAGGAAAAAAGAAAGACTCTCAAAGCAAGTGAGTGCACATGGCCACTGAGCTGGCCCAGGAGAGGAAGATGTCTGGGATGCGCGGTGCTCACACGTGTCCCTTCTCCTCCCAGCTACCACTGGATGTCTTCAACAACTACTTCAGCCTGGGCTTTGATGCACATGTCACCCTGGAGTTTCATGAGTCTCGAGGTGGGTGGTCCCTAGAAAGGCCGTATCTTGATCCTCCTCATTCCTAGCCTCCCTCTCCACCCTCCACCCCAGGCCCAGACACATCAGCAGGTTGACTGACCCCCATTTCTTGTCTTCACTCAGAGGCCAACCCAGAGAAATTCAACAGTCGCTTTCGGAACAAGATGTTCTATGCGGGGGTGAGTCGGGTCTACCCATACCTCTCCCTGCGCCCATCTCCACTCTGCCACATAGTGGCGAGAGAAGATCCCGTCACTAGCTGGTGACCCTCACCCCTTCTGTCTCCCACAGACAGCCTTCTCTGACTTCCTAATGGGCAGTTCCAAGGACTTGGCCAAGCACATCCGGGTGGTGGTGAGCAGGGCTGAACTGACAGATGGGTGGGTGCAGCGGGGCAGGAAAGACGCCTGGACAAGTGTGTGTCTGTCCCCCAATACTTCCCTGTTCCTGCCTCCAGTGTGATGGGATGGACCTGACCCCCAAGATCCAGGACCTGAAGCCCCAGTGCATCGTTTTCCTGAATATCCCCAGGTGAGGGAGTCAGGCTGTGGTGGCCCCCTGGCCCATCCCACGGCTCCATGCTGAGGCTCTCCATGCCCTCCCCGCAGGTACTGTGCGGGCACCATGCCCTGGGGCCACCCTGGGGAGCACCATGACTTTGAGCCCCAGCGGCATGACGACGGCTACCTCGAGGTCATCGGCTTCACCATGACGTCTCTAGTGAGTGTGCGGGCCCTGTGCTCAGGGGCCGGGGGCCTGGCCCAAAGCTAGAAGGGGTCACCAAGGTCAAGGAGCTCACCTCATGGCCCTCCTCTGGTTCGGGGCTGCCCTTTCCACTCTTTAAGGGTGACTTAGCCTGTGAGGGCGCTGCGGGAGGTCACCTCTGTGCCCCCCCGACTGGGGAGTCACCTTCCTCGTCTCTGTTCCTTCCCCTCGCCTCCTTTCCCCTCCACTCTTCACATCTTTGCTCTGGGGGTCCCTCCTTCCTTTGCTCTCTGTCCAGAGTCTCTGGAAGAAGCAGACCCCTCCACCCCACCCCTGATCTGAGCTGCCTCTTTCCACAGGCAGCACTGCAGGTGGGCGGGCATGGCGAGCGACTGACACAGTGCCGAGAGGTTCTGCTCACCACGGCCAAGGCCATTCCCGTGCAGGTGGACGGCGAGCCTTGCAAGCTCACAGCCTCACGCATCCGCATCGCCTTGCGCAACCAGGCCACCATGGTGCAGAAGGCAAAGCGCCGGAGCACCGCTCCCCTGCACAGCGAGTACGTCCACCTTGCTTCCACAAGCCACGGGCACCGAGGCCACACTGCCCCTCTCTGAACCATGGTTTTCCCACTTGTAAGATGGGGCGAACGGGCAGGAGTGGGGAGCTCAGTGCTAGCGCACTGGCCCAGCATATGCAAGGTCACTACATGAAAGGAAGTTAAGGAGTAACAGTCCCTCTGCCCCAGGGCTTGGGGAGGGAGGCTGCACATGGTGTGGCTGGCCGGCTAGGGAGTAATGGTCTGGGCAGGGCTCTTGCAGAGTTCCTTCTCATTGGCCCTGCCCACAGCCAGCAGCCGGTTCCTGAGCAGCTGCGGATCCAGGTGAGCAGGGTCAGCATGCATGATTACGAGGCCCTGCATTATGACAAGGAGCAGCTCAAGGAGGCCTGTGAGTGGCAGCAGTGCTGGGGACGGGGTGGACGAGGAGCTGCTCACCCCCTGCCGGCTGCTGATGGGCCTCTTTCCTCCAGCTGTGCCTCTGGGCACTGTGGTGGTTCCTGGAGACAGCGACCTAGAGCTCTGCCGCGCTCACATCGACAGGCTCCAGCAGGTGAGTGACGGGGAGGGAGGAGGTGGGTGCCGCTGCTGGAAGCCCCCTTCCTTCCTGCCCAGCCCCCCCTCACTCTCACCTTTGTGTCTCTCAACAGGAGCCCGATGGTGCTGGAGCCAAATCCCCAACATGCCAGAAATTGTCCCCCAAGTGGTGTTTCCTGGATGGTTAGTATGCTCTGGAGGATGAGCTGTGGGCAGGCCGGGGATCTCCTTACCCTTTCCATGGGGGAGCCCAATGGGCAGCAGGGGTCTCCTTGGTCTCCCCCGTCCTCACCCAATCATTTCTTCCATAGCCACCACTGCCAGCCGCTTCTACAGGATTGACCGGGCGCAGGTGAGCTGCAGGCCTCCATGGGAAGCTGCTTCCTCACTCCACACCCCTACCTCTGCAGAAAGGAAGCCTCCGTAGCTTCTCAGTGCGCCTGCCCAGGCCTCGCGGCCCATGTACTTCCTCTTGCCGGGGCCACAGGTCTCCCGATGCCCAGTGCACGTGGCATCCCCAGAACGGGCTTGCTGGGGACTGTAGGAGGCCTGGAAGCATGTGAGGGAATGGGAGGAAGTAGCTGGGGCTGGGTTACCTGCGTCAGGGTTTGGCATTGGGAATTGCTGTTCTTGGCCAGTAGAATGGAAAGGAGGTGGTGGTGGGACTGGCTTCCCTAGATCTATGGGCCCTGCTGCCCTCAGCCCCCACCATCAGGGGTCTAGAAGGTCTGAGCCCTAACCTCCCCACCCACAGGAGCACCTCAACTATGTGACTGAGATCGCACAGGATGAGATCTATATCCTGGACCCTGAGCTGCTGGGGGCATCGGCCCGGCCTGACCTCCCAACCCCCACCTCTCCTCTCCCTGCCTCCCCGTGCTCCCCTACACCTCGGTGAGTCCCACTGCCCAGTTTTCTACTACAGGGCTATCAATCCCATCCGCTTGCTAGCTGGTGCCTAATTCCTGACTTCAGCTACAGCCTCTCCATGAGCTCCAGGGAGCAGTAAGTGTCCATCAGCTAGCTGCCCATCCTGCCTGGGTGGCTACGTGCCACCCCTCCACCTAGCCAGCCGTCCTCTACCGCATACCTAGCCTTCGCCCCGCAGCTTGCCTCACCCCCGGCCCCCCCCCTGCCAATAGTTGCCTCAATGGCCCTGTGCGCCCCCACTCTGCCCTTCTACCTCATGGGGCTCCAGCCCCATCCCAGTCATCCTCGCCCAGTCTCCCCACTGTGGCCCATCTTCCCTTCAGTCCAGGGCCCTCTCTGGCAGCCTTTCCTGTGCTCCCAGTCCAGCCTGGGTTCCCTTCCAGCACACCTGCTTGAGCTCGACTCTACCCCTCAGAGTCCTTCCCAGGATGCTGTGCGAAGGTGCCATCTCCTTGATGGCTCAGTCACGCCACCTCACTGAACGCCTTGTGATTCCTAACTTGTTGATTTGTGTCCCTGCACCAGAATGCAAGCTCCGTGAGGGCAAGGCCTCTCTGTCTTGTCCCCATTGCCTGGAACCCTGCTTGACATTTCATTTCGCAGGCCCTCAATCCACTGAAAGAGCAAAAGCTGCCACTTGGGGTGGGGAGGGTGGCCCGCTAGGCCTGGCTGGCCGGGGTCACATCGCATCCTGCTCTGTTTGCAGGTCACTGCAAGGGGATGCTGTGCCCCCTCAAGGTGAGGCTTCTTCCCCTTGGGCCCCCCCTCGGCTCACTGCGGGGAGGGGGAGAGCCCATGGGCACCTTATACAAGCTCAGCCCCCCGCACGTGTGCCTGCACATGACACACTCAGACATTCGACACCAGCCTACATCTTTGACCTTAGTGTAACTGGCAGGTGTGTTCTGTGCAGGTGAGGAGTTGATTGAAGCTGCCAAGAGGAATGACTTCTGCAAGGTACTAGCTTCAGGCTCAGCGGACCCCTGCAGCCCCCTGCCCTGGGGAATGGAGCCTCTGGGCTGATGTGCCCCCACACTGTCACCTGTCCTCATCTGGCCCTCTGTGGCTCTCATTGGCAGCTCCTGCCTTGTCCCATCTGCCCAGGCCACAGTAGTTGTCTTCTAGCGGGGACCTCCTCACTCAGGCCACTTGTTTCTGGTGTTTAGAAAAGGCCAAGTCTGCCGGGCGCTGGTGGCTCACGCCTGTAATCCTAGCTACTCAGGAGGCTGAGATCTGAGGATCACGGTTCAAAGCCAGCCCGGGCAGGAAAGACTGTGAGACTCCTATCTCCAATAAACCACCAGAAAACCGGAAGTGGCACTGTAGCTCAAGTGGTAGAACGCTCGCCTTGAGCTGAAGAGCTGAGGGACAGTGCCCAGGCCCAGAGTTCAAGCCCCACGACCGACCAAAAAAAAATAGAAAAGGCCAAGTCTTAGGAGAACCAGAGATGTCATGCTTGATTGGCACTGTTCCATGGCTCCCAGGGTGGCGCTTCTTGGGGCCTCCTAGACACTCCAAGAGCCCCCAGAGGCACCTAGGGAATGGTCTGTGTGAGCCTGTACCAGTGTACATGCCTGTGCCCTACACCTGTATGGGAACAGGGAAGGGAAGATGAGGGTTAAGCCCTGGAGGTCAGCGCTGCTCTACCTCATTCCCTCAGCTTCAGGAGCTGCACCGAGCAGGAGGCGATCTCATGCACCGGGATCAGCAGAGCCGCACCCTCCTGCACCATGCAGTCAGCACTGGCAGCAAGGAGGTGGTCCGCTACCTGCTGGACCATGGTAAGCCATGCTCCTGGGGCCAGGGGGGAGGGGAGGCTGCCATGCCTCTGACCACCCGCCTTCCCTCCCTTTCCTCCTGTAGCGCCCCAGGAGATCCTTGATGCGGTGGAGGAGAAGTGAGTAGGGGGAGGGGGAGACAAAAGTCTGTAGAAGCCATCCTTCCAATTTGGTCAGCCAGAACCCTTGACCCCTACCTAGCCAGCCTGTGGCCCTCTGGGCCGCCCCTTTCCCCTGCCCTTTCTTATGGCTGTTGGGATGAGCCCGCCAAAGGGCACAGTGGACCCACAGCCATCCCTGCCCCACAGTGGGGAGACCTGTCTACACCAGGCAGCAGCCCTGGGCCAGCGCACCATCTGCCACTACATCGTGGAAGCAGGGGCCTCCCTCATGAAGACAGACCAGCAGGTGGGCAGCTTTTCCAAACTTGGGGGCTGGGGAGGCTGCCCTTGGGGATTTGCAGTTGAGACCCTGAGGAATCTGAGCCTGCAGAGGGGGCACTGATGGCCCTGGAGGCTGCCCCTCCCTCCCAGGCCACGTGGAGGAGAGCTCCTGCCTGTCAGCCAGTCCGGGCCCTAGGCTTCTAGCCCTGTACCCTTAGCATGCCCCCATTCTTGTCAGGGTGACACCCCCCGGCAGCGGGCGGAGAAGGCTCAGGACACAGAGTTGGCAGCCTACCTGGAGAACCGGCAGCACTACCAGATGATCCAGCGAGAGGACCAGGAGACCGCTGTGTAGTGGGGATGGCCCTTGGGCAGCCGGAGGGACGACTACAAGATGAATGCCCTCCTCGCCCACCTCACTGCCACATTCCAGTCGGATGGCCACGGGGGGACCCATGTTCTGGGGAAGGAGCCCCGTGCTGCCCTGAGGAGCTACCCAGACCTAGAGCTGGATACTGAGGAGCTGGACTCTCACCTGTCCCCCCAGGCCCCAGCCTGACCTGGAAACAGGCTGGGCTGGATGGGCCTTTGGCCAGGCGTGGGGCTGGGCCACTTCAGGGCAGTCACCCCCAGTGCAGCCGAGGGAGGAGCAGGGTGGAGGCTAGGCCGTGTCCTGGAGGCCTTCAGGAAGAGGCCTCGACAGCCACCTGGCCTGGGTGGCGAGTCCCTCTCCTCCCCTTCCACCCTCCCCGAACCGCAGAGCCTGCTGCATTCACCCGCCCGCCGCCCTGCTTGGCACCTACCCCGTGTCATTTCCTCGAAGACTGTATGGCCTGGGGGTGGGGGACGGGGCTCCCACGGTGACATGTTTACAGCTGGGTGTGACTCAGTAAAGCGGAGTTGTTTTTTTCCTTTCTGGTTTTCTTCTTTTGCCGTGGAGGTCTGGGAGAAGCTCGGGGTGTGCTAGGTTACCCTCGTGGGGGGGGGCTGGGGACTGCTGGATCGACCCTTTCCAGGGACCCTGGTTCCCGCTTCGGGGAGCCTGCCTGCCCGGCTCCTGACCTCTGCCCCGAAGCCTTACTCCTTGGGGCGGAGCTGATTTTTCTCCAGCTTCCCGCTTCCCTCTGGGACGAAAACAATGAAAGTGAAAGAGGTGGGCGGGGGAGGGGGACCAGGCCTGGGCTCCGAGGTCCATTTGGCCCAGAGGCCCCCCTCCCCCAGCCTGCGGGGGGGGGGCTCCGGGGAGAGCCCCGAGGCTCCGGGGTCAGAGGGTGGGCATTTACCATCGCCAGGGGGCCGGGTCTGCAACTTCTCAGACGGCTCTTGTCAGCTCCAAGTTTTACCAACCCAGGCCAGCGGGCCCCTCCTCCCCCTCCAGCCCGCGTTCCTCGGCTCGGGCGCTTTGCTCTGGGGTCCCGAAAACCAGGCTGCCCCCACGGCAGAGCCCCTCTCGGCCCTAGAATGAGGCGATCGGAGGTGGGGCCAGACTGCTCGCTCCTGGGACAACCCCGGGCGCCCAGGAGGTCAGCGGGGCCTCGACGGGGTGAACACGACCCCGCGGACACAGGGGCCGCCGGCGACACCCGGGGCTCCGCGCCCCTCCAGGTCTCCATCTAGGGCTCCCCGGCCCCCAAAGAAGGCGACGACCCGGGAGGGGCGGGCGGGCGGCGAGGAGAGGGCACTGATCAGAGCCCAAGACCGGGGTCAAGAACGGCACCCCCCCCCCCAAGATCGGTACGGAACCGGGAGACTAGAGAGTTCCAAAGGTGGAGCAACAGCGTGTCCACCCCGCCCCCCTGGGGCGACTCGGCAGGGACCCGAGGCGAAGGCGAAGCCGGGGC